GAGGCAGACTTAGGAAGAATGTGGGGACAAACACCCCGAGAGAGGGAACAGAGAGCACAGAGGGTTTTAACCTGGCAGAAAGCTCGTCTGGTTTGAGGGAGAGAAAGGAGTTCCACCTGGCTGGTGAATGGAGCAGGGTGGAGTGAGGTTGGATGGGTATAGGTGCCAGATCGACAGACATTTGGAGTGAGTGAGACCCTGGGGGAGCCCAGTGGTGTCGTGGTTACAAGTGAGGCTGCAATCCACATGGTCAGCGGTTTGAAACCACAAGCAGCTCCGAGGGAGAAAGACTGGGATTTCTCCTCCTGTCAACAGTTCCAGTCTTGGGAACCCGCAGGAGGGGTCCTTGTGAGTCAACATGAACTCAATGGCAGTGAGGTTCCGTTTGATTAGGTATGTAGGGGCAAGATCGGATAGGATTTGGAAACACTTACTAAAATCTACCCCTATCATTGGTCATCCTCACCACCGGGCACTGCAGGTGGCCTGGAGTTTCCCCAATATGACGATGCAGCTCCTTATCTCCGCCTCCATCCCACCACGCCTCGCCATGGACCCCAACAGCCTCATCATCTCCCCTCAATTGGAGACCTCGGCCTACGCTATCCTCTCCAACTCCTCCCTGGTCTACCTCTTCCAGCTTGGCTTGGTAAGCTGTCCCCAGGTATGGGCAGATGGGGTGGGCCTGGTCCCAAGCCCAGTCCCTAGCAACCCGGAAGCTATGGGCAATGCTGAGAAGACTGGGGGGACCCAGGTGTGAATCCTACTCACTGTTCAACTGCTTCCGGCTCCTAAGGCATCTATTCCTCTCCTCTTCCTTCATGTACTTGTTTACTTACTCACTCAATGATTCATCCACTCACTTTTCCATTCATTCACTCAATTTTTAAAGCATTCACTGATTCAATCCATCGCTGATTTGAAACATTTTGTATTGTTTTCAATTCACAGGTGCATTTATTTGGACACTCGTGTTTTTGGTCATTCAATCATTCCTTAGCTCATTCATTCCATTATTCATGCATGTATCTCTTGGATCATTCGTTCTATTTGTGTATCTCCCCATGAAGTCACCCATTTACCCAATCCATTCTTCATTTACTCAAGTGTTCATTCTATAACTGACTTAAGCTATCCTGCTTCTGGTCCAAACTGCATTTACTGATTCATTATTCACTATCCATTTACTTCTGCCCTTGTTCATTCATTAATTCATCCATCCACTTGTACATGTAGTGGTTTCTCCAGCAGGTCATCCAGGGAGACCTTGGCTCGTTCATTCATTCGTGTGTTATGTGTCTAGTGTTTTGTTTATTCAAGTTTTCATTCCATTGTTGCTTTGTGCATGTCAGCAATTCCACAAGCACTCGGTAGCGCGCGCCACAACCACTAAGGGTGTGATACAGCCCGTCTGTCCACCCACAAGGGTCTGCGTGGTCCTGTTAAGTCTCAGGCAGGTCTACCCAATCTGGGGCTGAGACCCGTGGGCCCCCACTTTGCAGGTAAAATGGGCCCGGAGGGGTTACTGGCCCAAGGTCATGCAGACAGTAAGAAAGCTGAGGAGGGTGCCTTAGATTTTCTGACTCGCTAAGTTCTTGTTGAATGAAGACGCAAATGAGGAGACCCCTCTCGGAAATGATCGGGGAACTCAGAAATCACCCCAAAAGCAGCACAGAGGAAAGTATAACAGGCTAGCAGTTAGGACTTGTCAACAGCAGTTAAGCAGGAGAACGGCTTGCCATGGGTGGGTTCGGCGGTCGGGCCCAGTGCCGGGGGCTGCTCTGCAGAGCCTGCCTGATGCGGGCCAGCAGGGCAGCCTTGAGCGCATGCGCAGATCTTGGGCAGCGCTGTCCCCACCTGTGCCGTTGCTTTGCAGAACACCAACATGTCTGTGGCGGTTGGTGCCAAGTCCAACAGGCTGGTTGGAGAGTTGCTGATGAAAAACGAGTAAGTGGGCCTGCGGGGAAGGGGCTGCCCACGTGCTCTCGGTGTCCAGGTGAACGTGAAGACATCCCCCACCCCCTCATTCCCTACCCCACTCCCACATAGTGTGCCACGTACCACTTCCTTGCGTCATCACAGCTAAGCCTGGTACTCTGGGAGGTGGGCACCAGCAGCCGTCTTTCGCAGAGTGGCACCGATGCGGGAACGCAGTGACCTGGTAGGCAGCCTTGCGGGCTGCTCAGGGGCATGGCAGTGTTAGTCCCGCAGCCCCGCAGCCTGGGGAACCCTGCAGTCTCAGGCCCACTTGCCTGGCTGGAAAGGGCTAGGGAGGCCATCGCACTCCCCACTGACCACCACCATAGCTCCGCGCCATCCAGAGCCCCCGGCCTTCATGCTGCTTGAAAGCCCTTCTTCACACGCCCCCCTGGGACGCAGGCTGAGCCTGGGGGTAGAGTCCGAACCCCAGCAGCGGAGCTCGGGTGGGAGGTTCTGCTTCTGAGCTCAGCTCGCTGGGCCGGCCCGGAGCTGTTTAAGTCCATTGTCCCTCCCTGCCCGAGGCCGATTGCTCGTCCACAGCATCTCTGTGAGGATCCAGTGAGGGAGTCACGTGTGTGAAGGGTGCAGACCACAGGGTCCCATGTGGATTTGGCCGTTGTTCACATTCCATGATAAAGCAGGTATCTGCGTTTGCAGCCTCCTTAGACCCATTCAGTGCCCGAGGGGCGGTATCATTCACGATGGGAAAAGGGGTGTTGGTGGTGTCCTGCATACTCGGTGACCTGGGATCTGTATGGAGGGCAGTTCGAAACTACCAGCAGCTCCAAGGGAGAAAGACTGGACTTTCTGCTTCTGTACACAGTTCCAGTGGGTCACTACGAGTCAGTATTGACGCGATGGCAGCCAAGTTTAGGGTTTGGTTTGTTTGTTGTTAGGGGGTGTATTACGTGTTCAGTAAACAAGATGGAATAAGATAGAGGAATGGGCAGAAACAACGATCAGAACCGGAGGAGGGAATATATAGAGAAAGAGTCAGACAAATGAAGAGACAGAAAGGGAGAGAAGAAGAGGAAGAAAGAGGGGAGGCTGAGAGGGGAGAGACAGAGATAAGAAGACCCAGCGATAGGGAGAGTAAGATAGGGAGAGACAGCAAAATACAGACATAAAGGGAGGGACGACCCCACCCCCCAAAAAGCAATGACCCTGAGGAAATCTTTAAACCTTGACTGAAGCTACCCCCGAAGTCATCTTTGAGCCAAATCCCGGTCTCTCCTACTTAGGAAAGGACGTCTGAACTGAGCATTATATTGTTTTAAAGGATGGTCTATACCATGTGGTCCAACTAACAGCATCAACTGGAAAGGATCGCTGAGCTGCCGGGGTGGGGTGGGCAATGAGGTCGTGTTCGTGAGGATTACATCACCGGGAAGGGTGGTGGTCCAACCTGAAGGATGTAAGCAGTGTCATGGTGTGTGTTTGGGTGGGTAGGTTCTCACACATACCCACTTCATTTCATTGCAAAGGGAGGGAGGGGGAAGGCGGGAGGCAGGGAGGAGACTCCCAGCGATTCAGAAAGAGGTTGGACACTCGGAGAGCAGATGTGGTGGCCCCAACATCTGGACCTGGGCGCCTGCCTCCTGGCCACAGTCGCGGTGTTTAGACTGTGCCGCGGCCTACATTCCTCCCGTTTCTGCCGAACTGCCTGTCCGGCTCCACCCTGTCCTCCTTCACCTTGAGATTGGCTCCTGAGGTTTACACGCTGTGCGTTTCTCCTTACATTATTTTGACAAGTGTTTCTGCTTCCGAAACATGTGGATTTAATTTTCCTTGAAACACCCATGGGCCTCTCAAGTGGAGGAGCTGGAGCGGACACAGCTGGGTGTTGGCTGGGCCTTGCAGGCATGCTGAGATGTGCAGGGCTGGGTGGGGGCCGAGAACCCAGAGGTCAGGGATCTTGTAGCTGCCAGCTCTTGGTGGGCAAGAGCGAACCTTCCAGCTCTGAGGGGAAGGGCTTTGGCAAAAGGGAAACCTGATTTTGAAATCCTGCTTTCCTCAGGATTCACTGTGTGACTGAGGGTAGGTTGCCTGACCTCTCAGAGTGTCTTTTGCCTCATCTGTAAAATGGAAATGTGATGACCCTTGGCTCTTGGGGTGTTGCAGAAATGCAATGAGATAAAGCACCCAGCATGATACATGATAAACCAAACATAAATCAATAAAACTCACTGCCATTGAGTCATGTCCAACTCATAGTGATCCTATAGTGCAGGGTAGAACTGGCCCTGTGGGTTTCTGAGACTGTAACTGTTTACAGGAGCTGAAAACCTCGTCTTTCTCCCACAGAGCGGCGGTGGTTTCAAACTGCTGCAGTGTAACACGTACCCACTGGGGGTTCAGTAAATAGGCCCATCTCTCCTCCCCCTTGCTCGTGGGTCTCTGTTAACATGCCATCAAGGCTGTAAAAGAATGAGCATTCATTGGCTCAGGCAACTGAAAAGCCCAAGGATTTTAGGCACGGGTGGATCCAGGTGCCCAAATGATGTCCCCAGGTCTCTGGCCTCTTCCTCTCTCAGCTCTGCTTTCCTCTGCACTGGCTTTCTTGCCTGGCAAGCTGGCGCCAAGTGGGAGCAGAAGGGCCCCGGCAAGGTCCCCCTTCCGAAAGTTTGCTGCACACGTCCCGGGGCCAGCTCTTACTGAGCCAGCGTGCGACCTTGGCCATACCGGTGGCAAGGGAGGGCTGCTCTGCTCAGTGTGGCTCAGCAGCACGCAGGCAGAGTGCTCAAGCCTGGAGATGAGGTGAGGCCTCCAAGGGACAGCCAGGAAACTGAGCAGAGAGAGGAAGGTCATGCGCAGCTAGTGCCTCCTGGAGTAGGGCCCTTCTCTGTCCCGGTCCCGCAGCCGGCACTGTGCCCGTGATCTTCTCAGGACAATGGCCGGCTCATCCTCCCTCTCCCTTCCTCGCAGGCTGAACCTGGAACTGAAGCACTCAGAGGTTGGCCCCTTTGAGGTGAGTCTGAGACCCTCCCTCGGTGGCTCCTTCCTTCCCTTAAGCTGTCTTGAGGGCCGCTCCCAGCTCCTGGCGTCATTTCCGCAGACCAGGAACCCGGTGGTATAGTGGGTTCTGTGTGGGGCTGCTCCGAGGGAGAAAGATGAAGCTTTCTACTCCTATGAAGAGGGACTATCTAGCAATCCCACAGGGGCAGTTCTACCCTGCCCTGCAGACTTGCTGTAGGTGGGAACCCACTGGATGGCAGTGAGTTGAGTTCAATGGAATACCATTCGCATGTGAATAACGTTGGGGGGAGCTGTGAGGTGCAGAGAGCCCTGAGCCAGAACCCCTGCTCCAGGATTCCTGTGGGACTGGACTAGTCACTCTCCCTCTCTGCAATTCAGACTCTCCCCATAAGTCCCCAGTCTGTCTCTCTTCGGCCTGAGCTGGCACAGTGAGTTTTAAATAAGATTAAACATGCTCAGTCCACGACAGAAAATGTGTGTAATAAAGGTTTGTTGAGTTAATAAGCAACTGACTTGAATGAGCACCCACTGTGTGCCAGGCACTGCTCTAGGAAATACGGTGCCGCTGAGCGAGACAGAGAATCAACCTGTGGAGGGAGACAGGCACGAGAGAAATGAAGATCATTTCAGTCACGATCAGCGCTCTGAAGACACGAGATGGGGTGAGGTAGCAAGTGATGGAGAGGGTTGAGGGTTGATGGTGCAGTGAATCAAGGCCTCTCTGTGAAGGTGGTATTTAGCCAGGTCCTGACGGATAAGACGGCATCAGCAGACAGACATCACTCACAGGCAGAGGAGGAAAGCAGCAGGAGCAGTGAGCCCGTGGTGGGAAGCAGCACCAGGCCGGCTAGTACGGTGAGAGCGGAGCAAGTGAAGAGAGGAGACGCGGCCGGAGAGCTGGCAGGCACTGGCTCCCTGAGGCCTCCTGGACCTTGGGAGAGGAAGACAGGTTGTGTGGTCATGTTGGAAGTGTGGGGGATTGTTTCACGCAAGGAAGGACATGCGGTCTGAATGACCTATCCCTAATGGCCTCATGTGACCCATTCCATCATCCATGTCAAAGACAAGTAGAGGTCTGGATGACCCATCCCAAATTGCCGCCCATGATCCATTTCCAAAATCATGTCCACATAACCTCTTACCTAAAACCATTCCACATGATAATAGGGTGCACACGCCAGGGGTTACGAGACCAACCATTATGCTGGAGTATGGACCAATCGAGAGGCAAGATAGGGAATGAGGTGAGCCAATGGGGTACTGTTACCTGATCCCTATAAAAATCCAACACCATACCCCTAGATGTCTTTAGAATCATGAAGTGACCCACTTTGTGACTCAAGCACACTTTGCTTATTACATTTTGGCTCGGCTTACTGAAAGAAAAAAAAAGGTGACATGGTGTGATGGGCATGTTTGGAAAAGATCCCACTGGACGAAGAGTGAATTACAGGGAACAAGAGACAGAGCAGGGAACCCAGTGGGGAGGGTGATGTCGTTTTCCAGGTGAGAGGTGATGGGGGTTGGGATTCAGCTGGAAAGAGCGAGAAAGATGAAGGCAATAGGGTCAAGGTTTGACATATGCAAAACTAGATGGGAAGTTTGCTGTGTGGGGTCAGGGGACGGGCACTCAGGAAGGACTCCCCAGTTTTTGACCTGAGCAGTTGAGTGGAAGAGTCCTGGGTCGTACAAATAGTTGAACACTTGGCTGTTAACCAAGAGGTTGCAGATTCAAGCCCACCCAGAGGCACCTTGGCAAATAGACATGATGATCTACTTCCGAAACAAGGCCTAGCGGTTGAAAGCCCTGCAGAGCACGGCTTGACTCTTCCCACTCGTGGGGTCACCCCCAGTTGGAATTAAAGGCAACTGGGGGAACAAGGGGTGGGGCTGAATGAAGAATGGAATCAATGATGAAGGTGATGGGTGGAGGAGGGGAGCAGGTATCACCCAGTCTCTGTGGATGGGAATCTCTGGCCTTCGATAAATAGGCTCAATGCTGCCCTCACCTGGGGCGCTGATAGCCAGCAGCTCAAATGCCCATCACCACCTGCCCTTGTGACCTAGGTAAGGAGCCACTGCCCGATTCTGCTCTGGCCATCTTAACCGCGGGGTCCTGTTCTACCAACCGGACTCCTTTGGAACCCACCACTGCTCTGGGAGACCATTTCCTCTTGTCTCCAGGAAGCTCCCCACGTGCTCCCCCAAGTCAGTCCTCCATCCCAAGGTCCCCTCTCAGTTCGCTGACAATCCAGGCAGCCATTTCCACCTGTTAACATTGCAAAACAGCAAAGGGCTCCAAACAAGCTCATTTTAATTTCATGAATTGACTGCTGCCAAGGCTCTTGGGGGCAGGCTGGACTAAGAGTCCTTAATGAACTTCTGCAGAAAGTAACATGTAAAACAGCCCCATTCCCAGGATTCCAGGGAAGAGCCCCGGGAAGGGAATGTTGTGTCGGCAATGGAAACCTGCAGATTTACAAGTTGTACATGTCACTCTCCCAGGGAATTATCTTGAGGGTTCTAGGTTTATTTTATGATCACCCGTGCAAAGCGGAATGCGGCCCACCCTGTGGCGAAGTCCTTCCTAGTTTGGAGTAGACCTTTCTGGCCCTTTGCTGCGCACATCGAGTGAAAAAGATGAGATGATGTGATTTCGGTGGCCTGCTTTCCTTACTCAAAAGTAGACCAGGGATATCACCGTATCGATATTTAGACAATAGCGTCACCTAATATAATAGTCTTTCTTTTTTTTAAAATAATCTTATTGGAGCTCGTACAACTCTTATCACAATCCATACATCCATCCTTTGTATCAAGCACATTTGTACATTTGTTGCCATCATTTTCAAAACATTTTCTTTCTACCTGAGCCCTTGGTATCAGCACCTCTTTACACACACACACCCCCTCAACACCTCCTTCCTCCACCGTCCCTCCCTCACAAACCCTTGATAATTTATAAATTATTATTATTTTGATAAATTATTATTATTTTGTCATGTCTTACACTGTCCAAAGTCTCCCTTCACCCAATTTTCTGTTGTCTGTCCCCCAGGGAGGGGGTTATATGTAGATCATTGTGATCAGCTCCCCCTTTCTCCCACACCTTCCTCTCCCCTCTTGGTATCGCTACTCTCATTATTGGTTGTGAGGGGTTTATCTGTCCTGGATTCCATGTGTTTCCAGCTCTTCTCTGTATTGGTGTACATCCTCTGGTCTAGCCAGATTTGTAAGGTAGAATTGGGATCATGATAGTGTGGGGAGTGGTAGTGAGGAAGCATTAGAGAACTAAGGGGAAGTTGTATGTTTCATCGTTGCTACATTGCACCCTGACTAGCTCTTCTTCTCCC